AAGTGAGCCGCATCCTCCCTTGGAGGGCTGCTGAATTCTGGGAGTTGAAGTCCAGACATCTTCCAGTTGCCAAGGTTGAGAAACACTGCCCCCTGGGAGGAGGGGTGGGAAGTGCCCTGGCTTTGGACCCTCATTGGGGGGCGCCTCGTGTAACCTGGCCTACCTTGCAGGGCTGTTTTTATTCAACTGTTCAATATATTCTATCGATTAAAGGTACTGGCTTATAAAACATAATTCGTTTATTAAACGATTGATCCAATTTATTGATTTGAAGGAACCGTCTGTCACATTTATTACATTTATGTATTCACTCCATTAATTTATTCCATGTATACATTTATTAATTCACATTTGTCCCTTATTCATTACATTTGCTTATTGCATTTATTGACTAACCTATTACATTTGTCTCCAAACGCAACCATTGTCACGATTGGTGGACTTCAGCTGGCAGGGGAATTCTGGGAGTTGAAGTCCACAAATGGTGGGGGGGGGGCCCTGCTGTAGAAAACCGAGCGGGCTTTGTGTTTTGTTCTTCCAGGGACTACATAGACCATGAGGTGGGGCGTGGATTCCAGGGCGCCATCTATGAGGACCCGGTGGCCCTGGGGCATTTTGCCACTGCACTGACTGGTGAGGAATTGGGGGGGGGGTGTTTTTTTGGGGGGGTTCCCTGATGAGTTGGCCTGTTGTTGGAAAATGGGGCACAGGTGAGGGGGCAGGTTGCCCAGGCAGATCTTGGCTTTAGCTGCGGAGAATTTGAGGGAAAGAGAGGGGGAAGGAAGGAAGAGAGGAAAGGAGGGAGGAAAGAGAGAAAGGAAGAAAGGAGGGAGGAAGGAAGGAAGGAAGGAGGGAGGGAGGAAAGACGAAGGAGGGAGGGAGGGAAGAGGAAAGAAGGAGACGGAGGGAAGAAACGAGAGGGAAGGAAAAAGGAGAAGAAAAAGCAAGGAAGGAGACAGGGAGGGAAGGAAGAAGGGAAGGAGAAAAAGGGAGGGAGGAAAGGAAGAGAGGAAGGAGATGGACGGAGGGAGAAAGGGAAGGAAGGAGAGGGAGGGAAGAATGAAGGAAAGAAAGGAAGGGTGCTAGGAGACGGAGGGGAAGGAAGGATATAAGGGAGGGAGGAAAGGAAGGAATAAAGGAGACAGGTGGAGAGAGAAGGAAAGAAGGAAAGAAAAAAGAGGGGAAGAAGGGCTCTTCCCGGCCCTCTTCTTGGCAAAGGCTTTCGGAGGATTCTCCCATTTGCCATTGCCGCCTTCTGAGGGCCGAGAGAGAATGGCTGGCCCAAGCTCACCCAAGACTAGAACTCGCCATCTCCCAATTTCCCGCCTTAACCAGCACCCCAATCTCCAAACTGGGACCCTCCAGCTCCATATTCCCATTGGGGGGGGACCTCTGAGGACCCCGAGGGGGGGGGGGCAGAAGGGGCAGCTGCTGTGGGTGGTCAGCCCGCCCCCCCTCGCGGCCCAGCGTGGACGGGCATTCAGTGGGCGAGGCGCTTACTCTCCCTCCCCCCCCCCCTGTCTCTGCGTCCCTCCCAGGGCAGGTGGCGGTCATCGCCCTCTGCGCTCTGCTGCTGAAGACCCGGCAGGCGGGGCTGCTCTGCGCCCCCCTCCTCCCGCTGGCTGCCCAGCTGTGCCGCCTCCCTCCCCAGGCTCTGCCCACCGTCAGCTCCTGCGGGGCGGCCCTGGCGGCCCTGCAGCTCCTCCACGCGGCCGCTTCCTCCCTCCTGGGGCTTCTCCGCGGGGCTGTGCGCGGCTGCCGAGAGATCCTGCAGGTAAGGAGGGGGGGGTTCCTGCAGGTGGGGGGGGGCTCGGCCTTCCCTTCCTCCTCCTCCTCCCCCCCCCCCCCCCCCCCCCCCCCCCCCCCCCCCCCCCCGGCCACTAACCTTCTACCACTAATGACTCATTGGGTCCTGAAAGGAAACCCCAGAGGGCATCCAGGACGCACCCCCAGTCCTCCTCCTCTTCCTCTCCTAAAGCCCCCACTCCCTTCTAGCACTGATGATGTTCCCTAGTTGGGTCATGGAACGTCTACAAGGAAGCTACCAAGTTCTAAGAGCACCAAGGACCCCACAGTCCTTGTCCTCCCCCCCCTCTCCCTCCTCACCCTCCTCTTCCTCCTTCTCCCCCCTCCCTCCTCTTTCATCTCACCCTCTTTCTCTTCCTTCTCCCCATCTTCCTCTTCTTCCTCCTTCTCCCCCTCCCTCCTCTTTCATCTCCTCTTCTTCCTCCTCTTTCTTCTCCCCTCCCTCCTCCTCCTCCCCTTCTTCTCCCCCTCTCCCTCCTCCTCATCCTCCTCTTCTTCCTCCTTCTCTTTCATCTCCTCTTTCTCCTCCTCCTTCTTCTCCCCCTCTCCCTCCTCCTCCCCACTCTTTCCTCCTCCTCCTTCTCTCCCTCCTCTTTCTTCTCCCTCTCTTCTTCCTCCTTCTTCTCTCCCTCCTCCTCCTTCTCCCCCTCTCCCTCTTCTTCCTCCTCCCCCTCTCCCTCCTCTTCCTCCTTCTCTCCCCTCCCTCCTCTTTCATCTCCTCCCTCTTCTTCCTCCTCTTTCTTCTCCCCCTCTCCCTCCTCCTCATCCTCCCCCTCTTCTTCCTCCTTCTCTTTCACCTCCCCCTCTTTCTCCTCCTCCCCATTCTTTCCTCTCCCTCCTCCTCTTTCTTCTCCCACTCTTCTTCCTCCTTTTTCTCTCTCTCTTCTCCTCCTTCTTATCTTCCTCCTCCCCCTCTCCCTCTCCCTCCTCTTCCTCCTTCTCTCCCTCCTCCTCTTTCTTCTCCCCCTCTTCCTCCTCCTTTTTCTCTCTCTTCCTCTTCCTCCTCCTTCTCTCCCTCCTCCTCTTTCTCCCCCTCTCCCTCCTCCTCCCCCCTCCAATGTTTCTCCCTCCCCCTCCAAGGGCCCTTGCTGCCCCTCCCTCAGTTCCAAGGTGGCTTCTCCAGGGCAGCCTGGCGTGAAGAGGCCTTGGTGGCTGTGGGGAGGAGACCACCCAGGAGGGCAAAGCCGGGGCTGGTGAGAGTGGCAATCTCACCCTCTCCGCTTCTCAGCCGCCCGCCTCGGGGGGTCGTTGTGCTGGCTCTCCTCCTCCCCCTCCCCTTAGGAAGCCCCCACTGGATGCTGGCGGGTGTTGGCACGCCCGTCCTTAGCCGAGTGGGGTCCCCCCCCGTCTCCCCTTGCAGGACCCGGAGGCCGATCGGCTGGTGACCCTGGCCGGGTCCCTCTGGAGGCGGCTGGCTCTGCCGGTGGTCTTCTGCTCCTTCTGGCTGGTCCTCTTCGTCCTGCAGATCTTCAGCCTGGCCTCCTCCTCCTCCTCCTCCGGCCCCCTTCGGCCCCAGCAGGGCTGCCTCTTCCTCCTCCTCAGCAGGTAGGAGGGGCTACACCTGGAACGAGGGGCTGCGAGGGTGATGGGGGGGGGCTGCCCTCCGGTGGAAGAGGGGGAGGCATCCCTGGGGCAGCTGGTCCACCTTCTCCTCTCTTCGGCCTCCCCAGCGTGGCCAGGTGCTGCAGCTCCCCCTACTCCCTCCTCGGACTCACCTGTGCCGTCTCTTACCTGGCCTTGGGGTTCCTCCAGCTGACCAGGCTCTATTTAAGTGGCTGCGGAGGCCTCCAGGATGACAGCGTCACCCACAGGTGAGAGCCTCTCTCTCCCTCCCTCTTTCTCCCCCCTCTCTCTTCTCACTTTATATATATATATCCCCCTCTCTCCTCCATCCCTCCCTTTTTCTCTCCCCCTCTCTCCCTCTGTTCTCTTCTTTCTTTCTCTCCCTCTTTCTCTCCCTGCCTCTTTCTTTCCTTCTCTCTTCCCTCTCTCCCCCTCTATCTCCTTCCCTCTGTCCCTCTCTCTTTATATCTCCCCCTCTTCCTCTCCCTCTCTCCTTCTCCCTCCCTTCCCCATTCTCTCCCCCTCTCTCCGTTCTCTCCTTTCTTTCTCTCCCTCTCTCCTTTTCCCTCCCTTTCTCTTTCCTTCCTTCTCTCTTCCCTATCTATCTCCCTTTCTCTCCTTCTCCCTCCCTTCCGCTTCCCCCCTCTCTCCTTCTTTCCCCCTTCCTCATTCTCTCCTTCTGTCTTTCCTCTCTCTCCCTCTATTCTCTTCTTTCTTTCTCTCCCTCTCTTTCTCCCTCCCTTTCTCTTTCTTTCCTTCTCTCTTCCCTCTCTATCTATCTTTCCCTTTCTCTTCCTTCTCCCCCCTTCCTCTTTCCCTCCCTCTCCCCCTCTCTCCCTCTGTTCTCTTCTTTCTTTCTCTCCCTCTCCTCCCTCCCTTCATCTTTCTTTCCCTCTCTCTTCCTCTATCTCCTTCCCTCTCCCCCCTCTGTCCCCCTCTCTTTATATCTCTCCCCCCTTCCTCTCCCTCTCTCCTTCTCCCTCCCTTCCTCTTTCTCTCTTTCTCCTTCCCTTCCTCTTTCCCTCCCTCTCTGTCCCTCTCTCCTTTCCCCCTTCCTCGTTCTCTTTCTCTCCTTCTCTCTTCCCTCTCTACTTCTCCCTCCCTTCCTCTTTCTCTCCCTNTTCCTCCCCAACCTCCTCACTGTCCGAATCTGCTGCCAACTCCACTGGCCACTGGCGGGCCACAACACTACCAGACCTGTCAATCCACAAGGCCTGAGGAGCTGTCAGTCTTGAGAAACACAACACAAGGACTTATAAAGGGGGATAAAGAAATTCCTGAAGCCCACCCACTCAGAATCAGACTTGGGAGACTGGTTAGTACTGGACAGTCTAGTTGAGAAGGATGGGGTGAAGTGTGGGTTTGTGTCTGTGTCTGTGTGTGTGTATTGCAACTAATAAAGTTTAGCTCTTAGATGAAATCCTCTATTCCAAAGAACCGGTTGTGCCTCAGGGTTGTTGCGTTGAAAGTGAATTGTGTGCGGCTGCCGATCCAAGCTGGGAATGCGCGAATGAGTGACCACAAGCCAAATCTGGAGTGTGCATCACATTACTCTACAATGTACTGCGACGTCGCCATGCCTCCACTGTGTTCGAATCCCATGAACGCCTGGCGTAGAACGTGTGAAAAATTGCAGATTTTTTTTGTTAGCATGACGGCCTTTTACAATCTTTGTTTTGGATTCTTCTTCCTCCTCCTCTTCTCCTCCTCCTCCTCCTTCTACTACAAAGCTCCTCCTGCACAACTAAGAACCGCTGCCAGTTGGTAACATCTGCTTTTTTTTTTCTTTTAAGAAGTTCTAAGGTTCTGCGAATGAATTTCTTAACCTCAGTTGACTCTTGTGGGAAGCCGTGTCAGGTGTTCTCACTCGGTTGCGGTGTACACAGGGGGGGGGGAGGAGAAGGGGAGAAAGACATCCATCTTTCTCTCCATTCGGACCTCCAGAACCCCCTTAGTACCTCCCTCTCCCTCTCCAGGAGCCCAGGGGGAAGGGGGAGGCTGTTTTCACCTTCCACAGGCTTCAGCAAAGCCTCCAGAGCCTCCAGGGAAGTCATACACAGGTGGGTGGGGCGTGCACACACATTTTGGCACGCCTTTAGAAAATGGTCAGCCATCACTGGGAGAGCTTGAGCAGGGGGTTGGGCTAGAAGACCTCCAAGGCCTCTCCCTGCTCTATTCTGATTGATTGATTGATCGAATCATTGCTGTTAAGTTGGTAACACGGTTGTTAAGTGAATCTGACTTCCCCATTGACTTTGCTTGTCACATTTTGTGACCACAGGGACACTGCTGCAACCATCGCAAATATGAGACAGCTGCCAAGCATCTGGATTTTGATCCTATGAACACGGGGAGGGTGCAAGGGCCGTGTGAAAAAGCATCATAAAGTCCATTTTTTTCAACGCCGTTGTAACTTTGAATGGTCACTAAACAAATGGCTGTAAGTCGGGACTGGTTTTCCGAATTTCGGCTGCACCCCAACCCTCACCAGATCTTCTTTCCCTGGTCTAGAACTCCCAAACTTCCTAGCCACAAAGGAGGAAGATGCCCCCCCCCACACACACACACCAGGTGTCTTTTATCATAAGAAAGCCTTTGGCGCCACCTCCTGGCTGTGTAAAGTCATGCCATTTGCTTTTTGATTCTTTGCTCCATTTCAATCAATCAATCAGAATAGAGCNGTATAAACGCCTCACAGCATGCGTGAAGGCAAAAAAAAGATTTTGGCGGGAAACTGTTCAACGGGTTTGATGGGGAAAAGTCCTGTCATGATTTTAAAACAAATCATAGAGTGGAAAACTATTTTTACATAAAGCTAATTCTTAAATGAAAATGATCAATTGTGCAGCAGCAAATTTGCACAAAGCTAGGAAAACCCATATTATTTTATTTCCAACTTGAACCCTTTATCCAGGAGATGGCACTCAAAGCTTATTTCGAAGCATCCTCGAACAATATAACTATTACTTTATTTAGCACAACTTGCAATATTCCACTTCCTTTTGTCCCACTAAGTCAAACCAGGGGGAAAAAGTGGGGGGGACCCTTATTGCATCAACATTGCTTTTTGAGAATTATTAGTTGCCTCAGGAGGATATGACTGCTGTAAGAGTCAAACCCACATCACAAATTTTAAAAAAAAATTCCGAGAAAGTGAAGGATATGTTTAGAAGAACATTATGATGAAGGATTTGCTTGGTGAGCATGTTTTGCTAACTATTTCCAAAGAATATGAATACAATTCGAGTTTAACTTTTTGTTTGACTTGGATTTACAGGAATGTGAACTTTATGTAGAAAACCTGTGCATTTGAGAGCCGATGAAAATTTTTGCATTAACTGTTGAGTTGTTTCCCTAATGCATGAAATCAAGCAGTCAAAACACTTTGCTAATTCCCAGATATTGAAAACAAATAGTGTAGCATTAAAAATGATTCACACAGTTTACCTAGTAGGTGTTTCACTTGCTGCCACAGATTAAAGAACTAAAGAAACTAGTATCTTCACGGTGAAGTTATTAAACGTGTACTTTTTTTTAACCAAAAAAAGTTTGTTTTTTCAGAGATTAACTCTGAAAGATATGAACTGCTGAAAGGATCTACTAATACAAGATGACTTGTGGTGATTAACTCCTGATTTTACAACTCCTTATCACTTTGATTTGGTGATCATCATTCCTACTAGAGCCGAGGTGGTGCAGTGGTTAGGGTGCAGTACTGCAGGCCACTTCAGCTGACTGCTATCTGTAGTTCGGCGATTCTAATCTCGCCGGCTCAGGGTTGACTCAGCCTTCCATCCTTCCGAGGTGGGTAAAA